TTGATGCACATAAAATAAAAATGTGATTTTCACTGCGGTGTGATAATATTAATATAATATCATAGCACAAATTGAAGTGTTTAGTTATGTATGTACACTTTCCCAAGCATAATGAATAAGTTATATGGCATATAAGTGACGCAGCCCATAGCATCAAATCTGCAATCACTTTTTTTTTAATTGGTTTAGAACAAAGAGCTATAAATGGGTTACTTCATCTTCTATAGCTATATTACTCTTTGCTCGTTTTATGACATAACCCGGACCATGTTTTATCAATTATCTCTTAATAAGTCAGAGCGAAAAAAAAGAGTGGAACATGACTTGCTGCGCCTTCCTTTGGAGGCCAAGAACAACAGTCAATGCAAGAAGTGTAGACTTACTGCAGCAGCCAGGTGTCACATTCATTCTTCATCATGTCTTATTGGCATCATTATAATAATAATAATAATTCTGCTTTCATGCAGAATAAGTAAATTGACTGCTCATTGCTATTTATGACTACATAGCTGAAATTAGCTTTGGATAACGTAGGGAATGGTTAGGTGCTCTATCGGGATTCTTTTTTTATTTTTTGTCTGTTTCCCATTGGGGAGATTCATCTTCACTTCCTGCCCCAGAGACAGAACAGGAGGTGGAGATGTCACCTTTTACTCTTCTTAAAGAGTTGTCACTGGAATGGGTGTCTACTTTTGAAGATTTTAAAGATTTCTTTGGCTTCTGTTTTTTAACAGTCACAATGCTCAGGAGATATAGGGAGGGTGAATCTTACCAATGGGAACACAGCCATCAACATGAATGGATGCTTGAAAAGGAAGCGCGCTTTTGTCTTCTATCAGCCTTGCGCATGCTCTGAAACACGTGGCATTGCATGCTGGACTTCCCCACATCATCACATTGACGCCGACGTCACGCTCCAGGGTGTACCCTGGACACTATCTTCCGATACTCACACATGCCGGCCGGCTTCTTGTGAAACATCCAGAGTCACTCCCCCAGCGCTGACTACGGCTATTACATCAAGGACGCAGTCATATCTTCCATCCTTTAACATATGCCAAAGCCTTTTTTCTACTCCATCATGTGTTTCTTACTGTGTTCTTCAATAAATGTTCTGCATACTGCACTTGGAGGCACTTTTTTTCTCTTTTATAGCAACATGAATGGAGCAGTGGTTTTGACACTTCTCCACTGCATCCAAAGAAAAAAAGTTTCATCTTTAGATACACTTTAAAGTGTAACTCCACTTTTGTTGAGAACAAAAAAAACATTCCCTTCTGGGTGATCTATGTACAGTATAGTGCGAGGATTCTAACAAACCTTGTTGCAGATTCCTACCTGTTTCTCCTCTGAAGAAATAGCTGTTTGTTCTTATATATTTTTTGGATATTGATTCTCATTTTTGCAGAGGATGCCTAAAATCTGACTTGTATTTTAGTAAAGACTTCTGAAAAATCAGTGAGCCAGTCACACAAACAGGAAATCACAGTTTTGGGGGAGTTCTGTACACAGTGTACAGAATGCCTCCAGGTAGCCATATTGCAATAAATTTTACAGAAAATGACAGTGCTGAAGACTGAAAAGGAAAGGTTCATTTTAAAATATTATATTTACAATATGGATTGTGTCACAATTGTATATGCTATATAATTTTTTTTTTTTTTTAATTTGGTATATTTTTCCAACTAAAATGGAGTTATCCTTTAAGTCATCTCATAAGAGTTGAAATGAAAACAAAGAAAGAACGTTCATTATTTAATTGCTCTAAAATCTGACTGACAGGTTTCTGTACCATGGGCAAATAAATGTAACAAGCTTACACAACAAGATCCTGCAAAGAGCAATGTTGACTTACCAAGTGCAGTTATGTGTAGAAACCAGCTGTAGCCAGGTCAATATAAAGATTATTTTTGACTGGTTACTGGGGATAACTGTACTTTACTTACAGCATGGTCACTTAGTAGTTGGCACTGTGGTCGACCATTGTTGTGGTTATGGGTTATCGATCAGGGACGCTCTCATAATAAATGACTATATTTGTATAATTTATGAATGGCTGATATTAGAAATAACTGTACCTCCATGTCATCACGTGTGACATATACATCACTACTGGTGTCTTCTACCGAAAACAGAGTTTGAATCTTTTCTGCTATTTCATTAAAAATAGGGTCTTCTTCAGCTTTCGAACTGGTCTCAGGCTGTTGCTCAGAGTTATTTTCCATCAATATTTGCCTTCTAGAGGATCCTAGCTTTCTACCCTTTGACCTCTTCATGCTGTGTAATTGGATGCTTTTAAAAGTCAAGGAAAGAAAAAAATCAAATGAGAAAAGTTAGTGTCTCCCATGAGAAATGCTGACAAATTATCACAAATATGATTGTAAATCTTCAATTTAAATGTAAACAGTTGAGTGACCCATGAACCAGATATGCATTTTAAATAGAGTGACCATTTTCTAGGAAGGCATTATTCAGAAATGAGAAGTTTCCCATGCAAAGATGTTGCCTTGTAGGGCAGCACAATGTTGTTAGCACTCTCGCCTTGCAGTATGAAGGGATTGGGGATGGGATTGGAGGAATTGTTCACTTTGCAAAGTGAATGTTCACTTAAATTAGTTAATGTGAAACTGTGTTCATATTAATCATCCAGTCACTTGCCAACAAAAATCCTCTTTCCTTTTTTTCCTTGAACTGGATTGAGTGATCAAAGTGAACTTAGCTTCACTATCTTTACTAAGATAAATCTATTTCTTTTTTAAAGTGTAAATCCAGTCAAATGCTAAGGCTAAACCTATTCCCACCCCAAGTCTAAGCCTATTCTAGCTACCCTGTAAAGGAAAGATGTCTACCCTCACCTATTCTAAAGTGGCACTGCTCCGGTCACATAATCGGGTTCCAGCACCAGCTTCAGTGTAGAGGAGGGACAACTGACAACAGATGTCCCATAGTAAGCCTATGGGTGACACCATCACCCAGGCTCTGCAGCTATTGTTGCTGCTTCTCCCCTACAAAGAAGTTGGCACTGTGACCCAATCATGTGATCAGGACAGGAGTGGCTTGAGAATAGGTAAGTGTAGACATTTTTTCTTTCACAAGGTTTTTAGAATAGTCTTTGAATGGGGTTGGGAGTAGGTTTAGGCTTCGTTGGAATTTGAATGGATTTACACTTTAAATGATGTAATTATTTACACAATTGTTTGAGAAAAAAATCCTTAATTTCATACATCAGCCCAAAGGTTTGTGCAGTACAGCCCATGATGGAAACACTGACCCATGTCAGTATGGCTCATGATGGAAACACTGACCCATGTCAGTATGGCTCATGATGGAAACACTTACTCATGTCAGTATGGCCCATGATGGAAACACTGACCCATGTCAGTATAACCCATGATGGAAACACTGACCCATATCAGTATAGACCATGATAGAAACACTGACCCATGTCAGTATGGCACATTATGGAAACACTGACCCATGTCAGTATAGTCCATGATGGACACACTGACCCATGTCAGTATGGCACATTACGGAAACACTGACCCATGTCAGTATAGCCCATGATGGAAACACTGACCTATGTCAGTATAGCCCATGATGGAAACACTGACCTATGTCAGTATAGCCCATGATGGAAACACTGACCCATGTCAGTATAGCCCATGATGGAAACACTGACCTATGTCAGTATACCCTATTATGGAAGCACTGACCCATGTCAGTATAACCCATGATGGAAACACTGACCCATGTCAGTATGGCCCATGATGGAAACATTGACCCATGTCAGTATGGCCCATGATAGAAACACTGAGCCATGTCAGTATAGCCCATGGTGGAAACACTGAACCATGTTAGTATAACCCATGATGGAAACACTTACCCACATCAGTATAGCCCATGATGGAAACACTGACCCATGTCCGTATAGCCCATAATGGAAACACTGACCCATATCAGTATACCTTGTGATAGAAACACAGATCCATGTCAGTATGGCCCATGATGGAAACACTGAGAAAGGTTTAGTCAAAAAGTGGAAAAGAATGAGATTGTCTGGATCTGTAACAAGGACTTTTATTGAATATGCAAACCCTAAGTCTATTTTTAAGCAATTTTAGCATCATGTTTCATTAAACACGTTTTTTTAAAGCAAATATCTGTCTGTGAATCTGTTCTTTCTGGAAGATCCTGCCAGAGATAACACTTCATGTTATAGGCTAATAATGCATGCAATTAGCAACAGTGTTGTCAGCCTGTCATGTGATGTGAGCACCTTCAGTTGGTTATTGGAATGCTATTAACAGGCAGTTTAGTGCCCAACTAAAAAAGATTGCATGGCAGACTGAAAATTTTGTTTTTAGTTATGAAGCAGTGGTATGTGCAGTCCTTAAATGTGTGTGTAACTACTGGAATAAAGAATTTAGGCAGGCTTTGAGTGCCCTTTTGCTCTTTGGTTAAAGCAGTGTTTCTAAACCTTTTTTCAATCACAGCATCTTTTAAAAGTATGTAAAATCTCAAGACACCCTAGTCTAAATTGTAAAACTTACTTATCACTGGAAAACCTGAGCCTGAGACAGGGCACACAATCACCTAGATGAAATTAACTTTACATCAGAAGCCCTATTACAGCAGAGTCCCCCTTCATATCAGAGTCCTCCCTGCACATTAAAGGGAGGTTTCCCCTTCACATCAATGTGCCCCTATCATATCTAAGTCCCCCTATACATCAGAGGTCCCTCATGACCACAGTTCTCACATGACAGGAGACTGACCCCCCCCCCCCCCTGCCCCTTAATCACTTCAGAGTTGCTCCATCACATCAGAGACTGCCCATCATGTCAGATTCCCTCATCACCACAGAGTCCCTCCTGGTGCTGGGACAAGGTCATCCAGCACCCAGGGCAAAGATGCCATATTGGGCTGATTAGCTTAGGGGATCCTACGCCCAGCTGTCACTCACTTGTCAACATCACTGTTGCTGTGACTACTCCTGTCAGCCTTGTACTAGAAGGAAGGCACCTCTATCCCTACGGTAAACCATTGTATCCAGGGCAGCCACCCCCCCCACCCCCCCTTGTCCTGGCCCTGGTCCTGGTCCCGGTCCCTCCAACCACAGAGTCCTCTCATCCTTTTCTGATCCAGGGAAAACTAGGTCTTGGCCTTGTGCCACCCCGGGAGAACCCTAATGCAGCACCCTGGTTGAGATACACTGGGTTAAAGTATAGCACCATCTTAACTACTTTTCACTATAGATTTTTGGAGATGCATACATTTTAATCACGTCTTCATAATATAGCTGTATATATTAATAAAAATGCACACATTTGCTGCTCATCACATAAGGGAATACTTTTATATCTATAACAGTTATTAACATGATCAAGAAATGAATATATTTGGCTCAGCGGTGCAAAGACAGTGAATGGTTCTATTGTAATTCTGTGAAATATGAATTGTTGCCAGGCCATAACATGAAACATTAATATAAATGCCTAAGGTAGTAATTTTAATTGGTTGTTCGATTGTAGAACAACACTAGGACAATGGAGCCTTTTACAAGCATTCTGGCTGAAAGACAATGCCGAATCCAGGGATCTAAGGTTATGACACAAAACAGTTTATTTAACGTTTTAATATAGAGTGATACATTTTGGGGGTTATTTACTAAAACTGGAGAGTACAAAATCTGGTGCAGCTCTGCATTGAAACAATCAGCTTCCAGGTTTTATTGTCAAAGTTGAATTGAACAAGCTGAAGTTAAAAGATGATTGGCCACCATGCACAGCTCTTCTGGATTCTGAGTGCACCCGTTTTAGTAAATCTTCCCCTTTTCCTCCTTGTCATGCAGTTATAAAATAAACATGTAAACATTTTGGATAATAAAATAATTTATGTATACAATCATTTAGTGAATTCAAAAGAATGTATATTGCTTTGCTACAGAATATTTCTATTTTAGCAGATATTTGGTGAATTTAACTTTATTGATGACTACCAGCCATGACATAAACTGATGTGGATGAAACATCAAGTTTAATTTAAGCTTTTCTAATAAAATGCAGAAGTTCATAGGAACCAGTCAGAACTCAACTAGGCTTCAAAATACTGGAATCTAAATAGCCACAGTTACCTGCCTTGGTGCCCCCTGTCCTAATAAATAAAGCCACTATTTATGCTCACAACAATTTTAGTACATTCCATTTCTGTAAAAACATCTTCAACAAGATTTTGTATATTGCTAGAATAAGATCAATGTGCAAAACTGTCTATACAAAAATCTTAAGTTAACTTCTGAAAGCACCTAAAGTAACAGTTTTTTTTTTCAATGAGGTAGTTTACATTAATGGGTATAACATACCTTTCATAGACAGAGAATTAATTTAGGTGATGGATTTAAACTGCGGTCTTTCAGATATGTGGAAGTATTCTCCTTTAGCTAGCTGTGCACGTTAAATTGTATTGTGTCATTTTCTTACTTAACTGTGCTTTTCCGTTGTTAGCCTGGAACTGTGGTGTGGCAGTCTCATAGTTTCCTTTGTAGGAGGAAGTTGGTCATGACTAATAAATACTGTAGTTGTTCTAGTGCAGAATGTAAGCTTACATAGGAATAGCTTTATATTTTATGAACGTGTACACACACCTGTGGAGAAGGTTGCATTTTAATATGATTGTGCCGTACACTTCTATGAAACACATACCAAAAGGCTGACAATATAAAGCTGAACTTCAAACAGGTATAAAAGATACAAATCAATGCAGCTCTGTATTCACTAATACATTGTTTGTCCTATTATAAGTCCTGCACAGTCTCTGTACAGCAGAGCACAGGCTAGGAGAGAAAAACAGTACGAGGAGCCAATCAGCTGTGCTGCAATGCGTACAATCTAACAAAGGACATGCTGATAGAAAGCTAGAGCAAAGTGAAAATGTCTTCAATACAAAAATCAGCAAGCGCTTAGAGACAAGAGTGGCTGGCACAAAAGGTGATAAACAAACCTTACACTAAAGATAGACCAAAAAGGTGCAGCATATCAATAAATGCATCAAAAAATAACCAATCAAACATGAAATCTCAATAAGAGGACCTGTATCAATATACAGTAATATAAAACAGGATATGACAGTATGAAAAATATTATTAAGTACAGAAAAATTGCAGTAGAAAGTGCTAGTGTTCTAACCAAAATGTCCAATAAAACTCCCATAAATATGCCTGAAAAAGTGTGTGCACAGGAAACATGTTGGGTAGGGCCTTACGTGCTGACGTCATGCCACAACTTCTGGTTTCTGGGTCAGCGGCCATACTAGACCCTATTTGAATGTAAACAATCCGGAGTGGAGATTTGGGAGTGGACTCCATTTGATCATATGAATGGCTGACATTATATGCTAATGCCCATTAGCTATCTGATGAGTGCATAAGGGTGAAAGATTACAGCACTTTGGTTGCACAGTGAATGAATTGCAACACTAGGACTCACTATCACTGAAGCTTTTAAGTAGATTTGTCATATGATTTACGGGACATTTATTGGACTTTTTGGTTATTGTAAGAGTACTAGTACTTATCTGCTATTTTATGGCTGTCATATTCTGCTTTATAGATTTTTCATACTGTCATATTCTGTTTTATATTGCTGTATATTTATACTCTTTAATGTTTAGGTCAACTTATTGAGATTTGATGTTTGACTGATCATTTTGTTATGTACTCTATTGTTTATGCGCTGCACTGTTTTTGGTCTAAAGTGAAAATGTACTTGCAAAATAAAATTTCACTTTGAAAATGAACATGCTTTATTCCTTTACTATATCAGGGTCAATGTGTCATAAATTAATCCATTACAGTTTATGTCCCCAACATACAAGGGTTGCACAAAATCAAAAGCAATCAGAAGTTGGCTAATATTAAAATAAAACTAAAGGCAAATTTAAGATAGCGTGGAGAGTGATTTGAGCACTTGTTAGGTTTTTACTGCTGTCTGTGTCCTAGTTAGGGAGAGTCACCCTCTCTAACAGGGGCGGACTGACCATTTGGAAACTCGGGCACTGCACGAGGGCCCAGGGTCAAAAGGGGGCCCATAAGATGCCCCTGGTACCTTTTTCATAGGCTTTTTTGAGTTTGGGCAAGGACACAGGGGCCCCATGATCCCCTATTGCCCGGGGGTCCCATGAGTTGTCAGTCCGCCCCTGCTCTCTAATTGTTCCATTTACCTCCATCACTGAAAATGAAAGTATAGAAAATCCTGAATTTGGGGTTGTCACCAGAACAGAAATAGAAGGGAAATCTTCCAACGGCGACACTAGTTTCAGTTACCTTGGTGACAACCAGGAATTCCCTAACTTTGGAAGGATTTGGTCTTACTTCTTATTTTGGTCATGGGACAGGAATTGAAGGGAAATTTCCCCTATGAGACACAGATTGCAAAACTAAATCTGAAAGGGGTTATAACCCTTCCTTACTCCATCTGAAATGAAAAAAAAAAAAAAGTTTTGTCTTCAGCTCTACTTTAGGCGTAACAGCATTAGGCCAGAAAAGGAGAGTAAAAGATATTCAGAAATGCAACCCTATTGGGGCAGGATATACGAGCAGTGCTAAAATCTGCACAAATAAATGAATGCTGCTCTGTAATCATTAATACAGATTCATGTATTGCTTCGAGCATGAGGCTCAATTTCCCCTCAATCAGCTTTAAGAGTTGTCATGGTGCAAGCCAGTCAGCCGTCAGCACCATAACAACCAATGATGCTTTTCGGCCACGACACAAGGCATTATTCACTGCTATGGTGATGACATCCAGCTCGCCAACACCATGGCAATGCATTACTCTGATCCAGGGCAGGTGGCAAAGATGGCCAACCCTAGTATTCAGAAGAAGACAGAAGCCTGCCTTCTCCAGGCATCTTCCACCTTCCACCATCTAACGCTCTGCTGGAGTCAAAAGCAGGGCACTAATGTGTTGATGGACTATGTGATTGGGGGGCTTTGTGATGTGAGACTATGTGATTGGGGGCTTCTGTGACTCAGTGGCAATGAGTAGGCTCTGATGTGATGAGATAAATCATGTATAGGGGGCCTTTGATTTATAGGGGTGACTCTTATGTATAAGGGGACCTCTGATGTGAATGGGTGAGACCTCTTATTTATAAGGGGACCTCTGATGTGAATGGGTGACTCTGAAATGAAAGGTAGGACTTTGATGTGATAGTGGGACCTCTTAGATGATGGAGGACCTCTGATGTGAAGGAGGGCTTTTGATGCAAAGTTTATTTCATCAAGGTGGTTGTGTGCATTGTCTCCTGCACAAGTTTCCCATTTACGTTACTTACATTTTGGACTTGGATGCCTTGAAATTTTGCATACTTTTAAAGGGTGCAGTCACTGAAGAAAGGTTGCAAAACACTGGGTTAATCCCCCAAGTGCTTTTTTTCATCAGCACATTTCCTCTATGCTGTATTTTCAAAATACCAGAAGTGATCATTTAGATCAGGGTTTCTCAATCAGGGTTCTGCAGAACCCTTGGTTTCCTCCAGAGGTTGCCAGGGGTTCCTTGAGTAATGAGAATCTTCTGCCTCTTAAATAGGTCCTAACTGACACCATTCTTTCTCTTAAACACCTGTAAGGGGGTAATCCTTCCCAATGACCACAAGTGTAAGCATTCCTCCTACTGACCATCTCACTAATGTATCATTGGTTGTGGATATAGTCATTTTTAGCAGGGTTCCCTGAAATTGGAAAGTTATTTCAAGGGTTCCTCTGTGTTGAAAAGTCTGAGAAAGGCTGATTTAGAGGCTGAATAAAGGGTTTAATGTAGTACAGTATAAAAAACAAGGAACAGAGGAGTATGGTTGAAAATAGGGCCAGTGGGTAGCTAAGGAACCTAGACAGCTGCTAACGACTATCAAAATGAGTAGAGTAGTGCGGACAAGCAGATCTTGGATCATCATATCCATGTAAGGGAGCTAGACTCTCCAAGAGAGAAGCCAGAAGGTGAGGGCATTTCGTTTAAATCAACATTTGAAAGTTTATTAGTTATCCAAACAAGATGAAGCTGATCTTTCTATCTGAATGTTACCAGACATCAGTTTTATTACTCAATTAGCGGCAATAAAATATCTGTGTATGCTTAATGAATTGTATACAGTGTACTTGGCCTTGAACTCTTAAGTACATGAGCTTTGAAACTGCATTATATAGAGAACAGACTAACTGATAATAATGTGCTGATTTAATTCATACTGTCATATTTTTATCATAAGATAAATGATGGAAGACTGTACTAGTCTGAGTCTAGGTTCAAACACATGTGATGTGAATTCGCTCAGTTCTATAGTGTGATTCAGCAATCATTTGCAGTAAGAATCAGCAGCCTTCTTGCATGAATACCAATGCTGTTTTCATGCCATTTTTAGTGTCTCTCTCAGGAGAGAATGGGAGGATGTGTGGTGGGCAGTGTGCAGACCCGCAGCAGTCCAGTATCTGCAGGCTCTGGTCACTGAGTTCCAAAACATAAATAGTATAGGTTAGGGGAAGCTTGAAGCCTGTAAATGAATGGTTCCCAATAGCAGCTTTTGCCGCCAACAGAGAAATCATAGCAGCAAATCCCTCCCACAGGAAATTCATAGCAAAATGCAATGGAAATTGGATCGCAGTCCCCAAAACTCACACACAACCCTTTTCTAAAAATGCAGTGAGGATTAACCACACATATATGAACACCCTCCATGGAAACACATGTTATTCCAAATATCATCCAAATTGTGCTTCTCAAAATGCATTCCAAATCGTATATATGTAAAACAGGGCTTAAAGTGGTATTAATCTCAAAACCAAAAATTCTATATATTGCAGCTTACAAGCATTAGATGTGGTGTCTGCATTGTTTTTTTTTTTCATAGGCTTTTCTCCTCTGTTGTCACCTAGTGATCTGGCCAGTAACATACCTCCTGCATAAGAGTACCCACACTCTGGATGAAGGAGCACAGGGAACACCTTTGCAGAGCAGTCTGGGGGAGGGGAGTGTTAGATGTACTAGCAGATTTTAACACACAAACATATTGAAGCCAAAACTCCAGCTAATACTTTATAAGCAGTTACGACAAACCATTTTTTTCCTTCTGGGATAAAGATTTTACATAAATGAATAAAAGCTGAGCAATATAAGCATCCTTGGTATTATTATGGTTTGTCCTTTCTCTATAACTGAGACATTCTGCTGAAGAGCTTTTTCTTTTGAAAAACAACAACTTGCTGGCTGGATCACCAGATGAAAAACAGAAGAAAGCCTAAAAAAGAATTGGTAAGTTGCAATATATTATATGTTTGCTTTTGGGTTTAATACCACTTTAACCACTTGCCGACCGCAGATAGCAGAATGATGGCTTCACTGCGGCCGGCCAGTTGTGGGAGAGTGTCATATGACTTCCTCTCAGAACCCGCTCTCCTGCACGCCCCCAGGGGCGTGAACCCCGCGATCTCCGTGATTGTTGTGTCCTACGGACACAGCTGATCACGTGGTATGGTAAAAGGCCAATCACAGCGACCTTTTACTACATGATTAGCCATGTCCAATGACACACTGATCACCGGCAAATGCAATTGCCGGTTATCGGCTGCAGTTTCCTCACGCTGTCACAGTGTGAGGAAAGTACTACCGAGAACCAGCAGTTGTCAGAGGAGGGATCGGCACCGATCATCAGCGCACTGATGATCAGTGCCCTGATGATCGGTGCCCAGTAGTGCCACCCACCAGTGTCGCCTACAAGTGCCCACCAGTGCCACCCACAAGTGCCCAGCAGTGCCAGCCACCTGTGTTCAGCAGTGCCACCCACCTGTTGCCATCAGTGCTCACCAGTGCCACCCACCAGTGCCCATCAGTGCAGCACAGCAGTGCCATCCATCAGTGCCGCCCAGCAGTGTCACCTATCAGTACCCAGCAGTGCTGCCAGTCAATGCCCAGCATTGCCACCAGACAGTGCCGTCAGTCAGTGCCCATTAGTGCCGCCTATCAGTGCCCATCATCAGAGCCAGCTCATCAGTGCTGCCTATCAGTGCCCATCAGTGCTGCCTATCAGTGCAGCCTCATCAACGAAAAATTACCTGTTTGCAACATTTTATAATAGAAACAAAGAAAAACTTTTTTTTTTTTTTTGCTCTTTTTTTGTTTATAGTGCAAAAAATAAACCCCCCAGAAATAAACCCCCCACCAAAAGAAAGCTCTATTTGTGTGAAAAAAAAATGATAAAAATTTCATATGGGTACAGTGTTGCATGACCACGCAATTGTCATTCAAAGTGCGACTGCACTGAAAGCTGAAAATTGGCCTGGTAAGGAAGGCAGTGAAAGTGCCCGGCAAGCAAGTGGTTAAAGCATATTTTCACTTTTGCAGTCAAATTTGAGAAAACCCCACTATATGTTTGTTTTGTGTTCCCATTCACACAGCATGCCTCAAAATTATTTTTTTTTTGCAGCCCTTACCTTTTAGATGTTTCTCATGAGAAGGTATCATAGCTGACTGTAACGTTTTTTAAACAATGGTCACACATCAGTCATATTTTTTAATTTAACCAGCACTATCCACACACTTAATGTGGATGAGGAAATTCTTCCCACTGAGCTATTGTATTGTGACAGCAGAGAGACTTCCCTACTGTCAGAATACACTCATCACACCGCCAGCTGTAGCCTGCATTGCTGATCGAGAGAAAATTTTCCAGTTGGCTAGTTGTACACAAGTCAACCGATAGATCATCTTGTGTATACCTGGCCTGCCCATACATGGATTGAAATTTGGCCTGTCCCTGCTGAACTGGCCAAATTTTGATTCATGTATGGCCAGCTTTAGAATGAGTCTGTACGAAGTCTGTCCTTGTTAACATACAGTGCAAGAAGCCCAGCTTCTAAACCTTTAACACTTTGTTAGTACAGACAAATCTAGTGTTCAAATCTAGTTACAATCGATGATGAACATCTGCTTGCACAGTAAAAACAGGATTAATTATGGCAAATTCA